AATAATATCCCGTAGTTCCTATTTAGTCAGAAATAAATTACACATTTTCATGATCCAATGGCATAACTCACACAGTCTAATTCCAAAGGGAACACACTACAGTATGTCCATGAGGGTATTCCCAAGAGGGACTAGCCAAGGGGAAACATGTACCAAGAATATTGGTGGCATCAGTCCAGAGGCTGGGAGCATGTGTTAAAGGGAAAATAGCCATTAGTGTAGAGACTCTGAATAGAAACTAGGAGCGGGACCAAAGCAAGACTAAAACCCAGCAGGGAAGCACTAACTTTTAAAAGCCCATTGATGGGTTCTGGAGCCATAACGATGTGGCATGAGACCCAGGCTCCAAAGAACTAGTCCCTTGCAGGTTGCAGCCTATGAGGCCTCTCTCTTAGATTGGGTATGCTCATGTCCTTTCCTTATCAAATAGATGTTTCCTGCTCCTTCCAGCTCTAATGCCCAACATCACCACCTTGACCCCAGCCTTGCATTTCCACCTATCTTCTCAGTGACTGCAGGAATCCTGACTCCTTGATGGCCTCGCAGATTGCCTACATGACCTTGAAACTCTTGAGTGTGGCACACACAACATTAACATCAGATGGAGGACATTAAGGTCTGTCACTGACAAGGCTGAGCAGTAATTAGACCCCCTTGGGTCACAGCTATAGTGACTTCTGTGTGGCTGGTTGCTGAACACTGAGAAATATTATTTTTCTAGATGGCCTTGTGTATGCGGAGTTTCCAGAGTTCTCTTTCGAAACAAACTCGTCTTTCAAATAAGTTAAAGCTCTACTCCATGGAGCTTAAGATGGGTGGGTTCCAGTCAATTCCCGAGATGCTTTTGGGCATCACTCACACTGTTCAAGGCAAAGTAGCTATATATATTCTCCTTAGTGGCCTTCAGTAGACACACTTTCCTGGGTTCCAACTTTACATATCCTTCATTCCTAGACAAACTGCAAGCTTTTTAGACTCATAAACGATGTTTTTGCTACATTTTACTTATTTACTCTGTGTGTGTATGTGTGTGTGCATATGTGTGTGTATGCATATGTGTGTGTGTATGTGTACCATGGGACACTTGTAGATGTCAGAGGACAAATGGTAGGAGTTAGTTTTCTTCTTCTATCATGTGGGTCCCAGGAATCAAACTCAGGTATCAGACTTGGCATAAAGTGCCTTTACCCACTGAACCGTCTCAACAGGTCTCAGACTTTTCTTCTGATTTCTGCTCATGATAATCACTGTGGACTTGGCTAAAATCAGCCACCAGTATCCACATGGCAGCCTGAACGCTGGTATGCCTTGAGATTCCTTTTCTCATATAACATAGCTCATCTGTTTTAAGGGTAGCCTTACCAGGTCTTGTGACAAAGGTAAGAAGCAGGCCATTCCTCACCAGCATTCAACACGAATAGCCTCTTCCCTAAGTTATGAGTCTTCAATTCCATATGAAACTTCATGAGTCCAGTGTTCACTGTCTGCAACCCTATTGACATTCTGGTCTTTGGAAGTCCCACCAGAATCACTAAGCCCCTCTTCCAACACTCTAGGAATTCTCTCGCCTGCATTTTTAAGTGGTTCAATGCCCGCCCCTCCACGTGCCGAACCAGTTCCTAAGGCTTCTGAATCACCTGGTTAGGTTTCATCACAGCAATGGCCTGACTTCCTTAGTACCAATTTTGTATGTTAGACATTTCATTGCTGCAACAAAATGCTTAGCTAGACAACTTAAAGGAGGAAATGTTTCTTTGGGCTCACAGTTCCAATCCTCGGTAGCAGGGAATGCGTGCTGGAGCAGAGCAACATCCATTAAGGTGGCTAAAGAGAGAGAAAAAGACTGGTTACAGAGTGAGTTGTCTTCTTTTTCTTCCTGTATTAAACACAGGCTCCCAATCTATGCAAAGTCACCCACAGCTATCCAGAACACGTATTCCTCCTTAATTAATGTCCTTAGGAAATACTTTCTGAACATACAGGGACGTATGCTCCACTAATCTATGTCTTCCTCAGTATAATCAAGTTGACAATCAAGATAAGCCATTATGTCCTCACATTTACCTGTATATAGAGGCCACCACAGACAAGGCAGTGTATATAGAGCTAAGTACACCCATTGGTGCCCATGCCACTATACTCTGGGACAGAGAAAACCAACCTAGCCCGGTGCACAAGTGTATCTGCATCCAGCGATGCAGGCACTATAGCATCATCAGTAGAGTAAGTGTATGCTCACTGACTCTGGGACCACACACTTAAATTTTCCTACATGTAACTCTGAGTTAACAATATCTACCTTGAACCAATGATCTAAAAAGAAGAGAATTTCTGTATAAAAGGTAAAGTTCCTGGAAATTGATACATTATCAATAAAATGGTTACTGATGTGAATATGATTGAAGATCTTATATAGAAACAAAACATCTTGAAGAATGGTTGGCTTTTATGCATATTTCAGAGACTTTGGTAAAAAGTCAGGATCTATAAATTCTTCATTGAGTTTTAAAATCACAATTGTTTATTTATCTGCTTAGTGTGATGGTCAGAGGATGCCTTGCAAGAGTTGGTTCTTCGCTTCCACTTTGGGGCAGTGATGACTGAACTGCCGTCTTCAGACTTGGCAGCAAACACTTGCACTATATGAGCCATCTCACTGGCCTGAAAAGCCAGGATTTTAGAGTAAGAGAGTTAAGGGATTCATAACAACAGGGTTGGCTCTGTGCCCTAAGATACTCGGCAGGAAAGAAGCCACGTTCCCAAAGATAAGCCTTGTTCCTTAGCAGCTGATTGCAAAGCACTGCTTGGTTGATTGTTATATTGAAGCTGTGCACTGGGCAGAAATACCCTCAAGCAGCTTCTTTCTTCCTCTGGACCCCGTTCTCCAGCTCTGCATCACCCAAGCCCACAAGTCCTTGCTTTTTCAATGCTACATGCGTGCACTAGACAGGGCAAACAAGTGTGCATAGATGTAATGCTTGTACCTGAGCATGCCCTATGTCAATGTGTCCAGGTATATATTTTTTGAGTGTCAATGAGTTTCACTATATTGGTGAATGCTTTTTTTATATTTTTTCTTTTTGAGCTTTGATATCTAGTTACTCCTGGAAACTGCATGTTAGAATCTGCCAGCCATTGAATATACTTTGAATATTGTTTAATTGCTCACCTAAATAGTCAGGGGGGCCTGTTTGATGCCCCTGTTTCAGAGTCTGACCATCGTCATTTCCCATTTCCATGGTTCAAGATTCTCTTGCTGCAAAGAAGATTCCTGCTGCCGTTGGAGCTCAGTATGTAGTTCAGACTCTGGGGCTTCAGTTATTAGACACTACTAACAATTACCCTTTCCCCTTTGTAGGCAGTGCCTATAAACTTACTCACTACATCCGGGCTATGTCCTATTCTTTCATAATCCTTTCTGACTAAAATACTGCTGAGAGAGAAAAATAAAGCAATGATTAAGGTTATTGACAAGGAAAAGAGCTATTATCGAGAATCTCTGGGTCTGAGGATAAGAATGAAGTATAAATTCATTTGTTTCAAACAAGTAATGGTATAAAATGAGACTTCTCTGAGTGTTAGAAAAGAAATGCTGCCTCATTTACTATGATTGCAGCCAGCAAAGGCTTAGATTAAAAAGAGAAGTTAAAATTATTAAGCTTTATCTGATCATGTTTTGCTAAACCTAGGAGCACAATACAAGGCTTTAAGATACAGGCGCTCATTCATGAGCATGCATTTTTGAAAATGAAGGTTTACTGAAAATGAAGGCAGAAGCACAAAAGAGCCAAGTTACCATATCAAACATTGTCCTTCTCTTATTATGTAGGATGCTTAATTACAGTTAAGATGTAATTATAATATGTAAAAATGTTGAACTTTGTATAATGGTTCCTTATATAATACTAAACAAAGAGGGCATTAAATGAAGAAGCAGAAGCCACAAAAAGTAAATACCCAATGTATGTCAAGGCCATTAGTCCTGGCGGTCCTTTCCTTTTTTTGGGTGTCATTGCTCCTGTCAGAGCTTGAAGATATATGATTAAGTATGGAATTACTTTTGCCTTGACATGATTTGTGTTGTATAGAATCTAGGAGCGGGACTTTTTTTTTTTTCCTTAAAAAAGCAGTTTAGAGGGTTGTTACAGCCTCCCTTGTCTGGCCCCAGCTGTCTCTCTAGAAAATATTGGAAAGTCTCTCCTCTGGTCCCATCTCCTGTCTGAAGACCTTGCCCCCATATGGAAGAAACTTATTTTACTGCAAAGGTGGAAGAGCAAGGGCCCAACATGGTATTCTTCCTTGGGTTTTCAGCAGTTGAGATCTTTATCATGAAAACCGACCTTCCCAGGTCATCCTGACTTATCCAAAGCTCTTTTCTCCATGAAGTTCCAGACATCAAAGGGAAGGCTGAAATGTTTCAGCGAGGCTGAGAAGTACAGACATCATGCAGGGAGTGGAGGAATCCAGTACAGTAAGTGGGGGGATATGTCCTTGAGAGAAAGAAAACACAGACCTTGCAAAGGGCACGCACTGAGAAGTCAAGATTGGGGTCCCGTGCGATTTAGGCATGCAGATATAAGGGTGTTCTGTGACCAGACCAGAAGGAACACAGAGATGAGAAAAGCAATACAGGCAACTGTCATGAGAAAAGGTACCCATAATGCACTGTGTGCCACAGTCCAGTTCTCCCCAAGAGCTTTCCAAGAACTCACTCTTTTCAACGAAGGTGATCAACTAACCAGAATCTGGAACTGCGCCCAGGCTGTCCTCTTGCTGCCTGCTGGCTTAGATCCATGGACACTGGATAAACACAGGATAAAGAGGGCATGGTATATCCCCATGTCGACCTGAGACCCACCTGGGGAGAAGAGTGCCACCAACAATTGTGTACAGTGGCAGACAGAATTCAATACTTAAACTGTGGCACACCCAGAGACAGAGTGCACTTTAATCCCAGAGAATAAGAGCATTAGGAGCAGACAAGTTTTATTATTAAACAACTTTAATCCAAATGCTGATTATTATTTGCAGTGTCTGAAGGCACAAAATATACCTAAAATGTATGGAAGAGTCTAAACAGAGTTATAAATCCACAGAGCAAAGCATGAAAAAGATACATTCTGAGCTGACACAGATAGCTGGGGTGGGAGAATATAGGCTTTGTTCTTGTCTCCCCCTAGATAACTTGCTTGATATCAATCATTTCCCCTCATGCCAAGGATAGGGAAATTAAAAAATGACATAAATATGGTAAAAATAACACTGGGAGGTATCTGGAACAACCAGAAGCATTATACCTTTCTTGCAAAGATAATCTCTTTCTCCCTCTCCTTCTCTCTTCCTCCCTTTCCCTCCTCTCTCTCTCTCTCTCTCTCTCTCTCTCTCTCTCTCTCTCTCCCCAACACACACACACACACACACACACACACACACACACACACACACAGAGAGAGAGAGAGAGAGAGAGAGAGAGAGAGAGAGAGAGAGAGAGAGAGAATCTCTACTCCTAAGCAAAGACACCCATATCCATGGCATACCAAAGAAACTAGGTCATCTTTGGGATACAGACAGGTGTAAGATAAGGCAGTGAGACCAGAGTTTGATTTTTAAATGACTATATATATGAAAAATTAACCCTCCAGTGCAAGTTGCCCAAAGAGCTGATGAAATGAAAACAAAGCCTATGCAAGCTAGGTAGCCCACCTAGGTTTTGCCATGCACACCTGTCTCCATGGTCCACACACTGACTAGGGAAATGCTGATAAATCACTCTAGTAACACCAGTATCATGGAATTCCCAGTAGCCAATGATACATAACTGTGAACAGTGTCTTGTTTTGTTCTGGTGCTTTTAGCTGACTCTGTGATACAGTAACTTCTTTATACTCGTTAACATCATTAGGGACTTTGGGAAATAAATTCATCCTGGGCCAGTAATTACCTTCATGAATCTATCTCTCAACTAACTCTACAAAAATATAGAAGTACAGAAGAAGTAATAGACAGAATGGTGTGTTTCTCTGTAACCACAGACCAAGATCTTAACACCTCAATTTGTAGTTCGAGTAGGAGCTCTATACTTTTGGAACTGGATGGGGTTATGTTCTACATCCCAGCAGTGTAGGAGATCAGAGACACCTTGGTCTTCAAAATGGGAGGAAGCAGCTTACAGTGATACAGCTCAGATTCCTCTGGAGGAATCATTGCTGGTTCTACAGTTTAGTTACCCCACAAAGGGCAATGTAGAGAGGGAAGATCCTTAGGTTAGCCTTGTTTTATCAAACAGGACTTCCCTGCAAATTCACCATCTCAGAGGATAGAAGATTCTTCCAGCCTGAAGGATCCCTGCTGTGGGCTGGTTTATTGTCTGAGGACTCCTGGTGTTGAAAACACAGTAATTCTGGAGAAAGGGCTAGTGCTGAGATCTGGTCCTGTTTAGCCAACTTTATAAAGCGCTAAAGACATGTCTTTAAGGACTATGGACAGCTTCATTAGGGCACATGTCTTTAAGGACTATGGATAGCTTCATTAGGACTCCTCTTGAAAGAGTCAAGCTAATTCCCTACGTGGTCCTTCTTGTTTATCCTCAATCTCCCCATAATTTGGAGAAAATTCCCCTAACTCATTTCAGTGGAAGCCTTTTACCTGTGTACTTCTACTCCCTGTGTCTGTAGCTACTTTTCTTTTGATCAGAGCTATCCAAGCAAACAGTCTTTACCTGGTTTCTTACAATCCATATGTCATACAATCCATATGACAAATTCAACCTATAATAAAGGATGTCCCACTCAGGACAGTCCTACCTCTGCCTAGATGGGGTTGCCATCACTGACTGATTCTCCTAAGTAGAAAGAGTTTTTTTTTTTAAAGACCAATAATATGCTGTTCAAACACATTGATATCAAAGCCTCAGAGACTGTGACCTCAATATGGGCATCTTTTCTGAGGCCTTGGGGACAGCTGCATGCTACACACTGTGACACACAGTGACCTCAGCATCTTGAGCCTGATTGTCCAGCGCCATGTCTAGGGCAGGTCAGCCTACAGGTCAGGGACCAGATGGGTCCACACAACCTGGGCTCCAGACTCAGGCACACACTGAATCCACCCAAAGACACCGAAGGAATAATGAGGGACTTGTAAGGAAGGACAAGAGGGAAAGCTGTTGGCACAGCAGCAAGCGGCATTCGGGGCTCCTCCACGTCTTCTTTCCTCCCCAGCAGCCAGGAGCTTCTTTTCCGATGGTCCTTCCTGCCCTCGAAAGGGTCCAGGAATAGGGGGCTCCTTTGGCACTTCAGAATGATCACAAGTAATTTGCCTTTTTATTCATATAGAACAAAATTTACAAAGTCATTCATACAGTTTTTGTTGGTTTTTTTGTTTTTTACTGACTTCGAAAATTGGGAATATTCAAAATACACTTTTACCCCACTCCATTCTGTCATTATTTACATTTATGTACAAGAAAAATGAAAGAGTCCGTGTGTGTGTGTGTGTGTGTGTGTGTGTGTGTGTGTGTGTGTGTATGTGTGTGTGTGTGGTCTGTGTTGTCATTTTCTTGTATTAAAAAGCTCTGCTGGTCGGGTGGGTGGGCAGACGGGCAAGAGGGCAGGCGACGGTCAGATGGAGGTGCCATGAGAGGTGTCCAGAGCCTCTGGAAGGACACCTCCAGGCACGGGCTGAAAGGACATGGGGATTGGGGTCTTCACAGGGCTCTGTCGGAACAGTCCTCCGTTGGGCGACCTGTGTTTGCACTGAATCGTGGGCATGGTGGCTGAGCTGCTCAGTGGCAGTGGCAGGTTGCTGCTGGGCCCTGACGACAGTGTCCGGCTGGTGCCATGGCTGCTTTGTTCAGGCAGAAAGGTGCTGACCGAGAGTTGGGTGTTCTGATACTCCCGCGTGGGCTCCAAGGCTTGGCTTGGAGCCAGGCCCCCCATCTCCAGGGCAGAGAGCTCAATGGATGCTGGGGAAATTTGCTTGTGAGCAATGTCTTCATCCATGAGGCTATTGATGCGTCGGTGCACCTGTTCCAGATTCACCTCTTTGTCCTGAAGAGAAAGGACAGGAAGGTCAACAAACATCTGTAGAGTGGACTGAGGTCAGCTTTGCTGCTAAATCCGGATACCTGGAGCTACCAGCCTGTTCAGCTTGCCAGACAGAGTATCCCTCGTTGTTCCCACCTTCCCTCAATCAGATGGTCAACTCTTGGCTATCTGGGGAATTCATACCCGAGAACACTAATCTTTGTAAAATGATGACCCCGACAGCAGGCATCAGAAGCCTTTCTCTTCCACAATGCACTCAGCCTAGAATCTCTGGCACACCCAGGGCAACCCTATAACGAGATGCTCTAAAGAATTGGCTGAAGCAGGAAGAGATAAATAGAGTACCAGGGAAATAGAAGAAGTGATCTTGATCCCTAATATGCCCCATGCATTTGCAGTTTGAATCCACAGCTTCCTAGGCTTGATACTGTCACCCTTGCCTTACACAAAGAGGAACAGGGTTAGAGTAATTCCACTGCCTTGTGAGTCACCAACCCCACGAGTGTTAGAGGTTACTTAGAAGTCAGATACGGAAAAGCAACACTGGCCTACCTGACCACCTAGTTTGTGTGTTTGTGTGTGTGTGTGTGTGTGTGTGTGTGTGTGTGTGTGCAGAATCTCTAGTTCATCCCAGAGGGTAAAGCATGCCCCATCTGGCAAATAGGGCATGGTGTTTAAGTGGGGAGAGGAGGGGCAGTGAGGTATCAAGAAGACTTGAGGCTTCCCAAATGGACGATTCTCACCCAAGACCCTTTAGTTTATTTATATACTGAAGAAAGAAAATAAAAACTTTATAATTCTTCTCAAGTAAACTGATGCTACATCTTCAATGCTAAAATGAATCAAGGTGGTCGCTGTGCTTGAAAGCTCAAGGGAAATGCTGCCTGCTCCCTCTGTCCCACACCATACCCCACTGAAGTGGACAAGTGACAAGTGTCCAGGAAAATAGCTATTCCACCTCCCATGAGGGTAGAAGCTGCAGAACCAATTGTGGCTTTGTGGGTGTCATTGATCTAGGAAAGATGGTGGCTACATCTGGCCCTTTCTGAAGCCAGACTCCAAGAAAAAATATTGAGTCACGATTTATTTCTAAAATACAATCTTGCCAGTGGTCTAGTGTTCAGAGCACGTGAGAGGGAGGAATAGAACCTCTGTTCAGGTTGTAGGTATTTTAGAAACACCACAAGATGTAGAGGCTTTGATATGCCTCCAAAAAGAAAAAAAATATCATGCAAAACAGAGGTTATCCCAGTGACTGATTATTTTGAGCTCCTATGGGATAAGGGATAGGGCTCCCCATTAGAAGGTCATTTGGGATCAAGAGCATAAGCCCTCCTCCTTTTTCATGATGCCAATCACAAAGACAATACTAGGAAGACTCAAGACAGCATTTCTCAGGTGTGCAAAGAACTAAAGAACCCTGTCATTCACTCCTTGACTCAACAGTCTTTGCCGGGGAAAAGGAGATCACTGCTGTCTAAATGACCATGAGTTCAAAGCTGGCACACTGGGCCTAGCTTCTGGAAAGGCACGTACAGTGGTTTCCAGAACATCTCCCGCAGCAAGAACCCTGACAACATTCATAATACAATGAGGAACTCATTGCAGGCCAGGAAGAAACTGAATAATAAAGGAGCACACTGGGCAGAGGGTGAGGGAACATTGTGGAAATTGGCTTGTTGTCATAAATGGAAATGACATTGGAAGTAACTGGATGGCCACTGAATAACACCCAGGATTCCAGTGATCTGAAACCACCCAATATGACTCAGCTCATCAGTGCTGGGAAGCTGCTTATGAGATAAGAATACCTCTGAATAGCAAGTGCCATAGGAAAGTGGGAAGAAATGGGTGAGATGCTATCCACTACTTTGTCTGTCTCAATACCATTCACAAGATTCTTTTATTAGCTCCTTCAAAGATGTGTAAGCTGTAAGTGCTCCTCAATTAACAGTGTTAAATATTAACAGACTCACAGCCAGTTGAAAATAGCCCAAGTTAGCAATGTAATCACCGTAAGTACCAGGCACCCTCACTTCAACAATATGGCGCGTTGGAGAGCATTGGCATTTTCTGCTTGTGTTCTGTAGCTGGGACTGCGGCTCTCTGCTGCTTCAAAGTGTTTGCCCAGAAAAAGATTAAAACATTAAAATGTAGTTTCTGCTGATTGCATTCTGCTATTGTACTATGGTAAATGGGAACTATCATAGTTGAACCATGGCACATTAAGAATAATCTAAATATAGCAAACCAAATCAAAGAGATTTATTAATTATTTTGTACCATGGTTGACCTAGCACAGAGCAACTTTCTCCTCAATGTATGATTTATCTGTCTTTCTGTTTTTTTCTTTGCTTTATATAAAGAGAAATGTTTCCATTCTTTACATAAAATTTTTAAGATAGTATCTTATGCCTATTATTTGGGGGGTTAGTGACTTAGATTCCCTCATTTTTGATGGCTTTTTGTTTGTTTGTTTGTTTTTGTTTTTCAAGATAGGGTTTCTCTTTAGCTTTGGAACCTGTCCTGGAACTAGCTCTTGTAGACCAGGATGGCCTCAAACTCACAGAGGTCCACTTGCCTCTGCCTCCCGAGTGCTGGGATTAAAGGTGTGTGCTGCCATCACTACGATGGCTTCTTAAATAATCCATGGTTCATCTATAAAGAGTCACTTGCTTTGGGAAAATTGCTGCCTTCACTCCGTAATGGTGTGGGTGGCAGGTAACATTCCCCGGTGAACAGACAGTACTGTCATACAAACAAGGTCATTAGTACATGGTGAAAATCCCGAAAAAAAGAGACTCGGAGAATAGGTGGAGTTTCATCCAATAGCTGTGGTACCATACCCAACCATCCGTGCTGTGGCCACGCTCTCAGGGTCTGGGCCTCAGGATAAGCCCTGGCTCTGCTCATCATCAAACTTAGATTTTCAGCCTTTTCACAGCTCCCTGATCTGCAATGCAGCTTTTGACATGGGATATGGCCCCTTTGTCTGAACCAACCAAAGTCAGCGTCGGAACTCAGCTGGTGAATGTTTCAATTCACAGATTATTTTCATCCCAAAATGCAACCCCCAAAAAGGGTGGAAGGTGGAGACACTAGGACAGAGTTTCAGATGCTTTTAGGGTTCAAGGCAACAATATTCTCTTCCCTACAGCCAGCAAAACTTGGAGAAGACTAGACAAGCCAGGTGCCCTGTCTACAGCCTATGGTTCCAATAGAAGGAAAACTGATGAGCCGTGTTGGGGGTTTCCTTGAAAGAACCTATTCGTTACATAACCTTGCCTTCTCTTCCTTTCCGTTTTATAATTCAGTACCGTAAGGCGCCCATCTGGAATGGAAGACTATTTGCAACAGGCAGGAATCAAGCTGTCTTGGCTCCAGCTGTGTTCACTATGGATTCTGTCAACTGAAGGGAGAGCCCTGACCTTTCACTTAGAGTCAGCTAAGTACTGGGTCAGGGCAGGTACTCAGAGGGTAGGTCCTGTTTTTCAGGCCTTGGAAAAAAAGAGCTAGGAGAATGCCCCAGGGAGACAGGGCTCTGAGAGTCTCAGACAGACAGGAAACAACACTCTATACCCAACGCCAGAGCAACAAACATTGGCTGATGCAGTGTCTCAACCAAAGTCCTGGGAAGAAAAATGTGAGCAAGGGAAGCCTCTTATCTGGAGTCTTCAGCATTGACATTCAAGGCACAAAATGGGAAGCAGTAGCAGTCTGGAGTGGAGAGAGGGCACAGTTAATAACCTAACCTTCTAATACGGCTCTGGGGTCAAGAAGCATCAGCCTATTAAAGACTAACCCAAGGAATGGGTTATTTCTTTTCATTTAAATTTTGAGGATTTTATACAATATATTTTGATCATATTCTTTCCCCTCTTCCAACTTTTCCCAAATCTTTCTCCACCTTCATGTTCTATCTTAAAAACATATCAAAACATTCCAAAAGCAAAACCAAAATAAAACAAAGTATACTTGCATGCACACACACACACACACACACACCACCACCACCACCACCACCACCACCAATAACAACAACAGCAACAACAACAACAAAAAATGTGGAATATGATTTGTGTTGTCTGTATAAGCTGAAAGAAAGATCTTGAATGGTTTCTTAACCCAGTGTATTTTTTTCCTGTCTTAAATTAAGGATGGATGAATCCGTTGTAAGCAGTGTGAAGCCATGCAGGGCAGATCAACTCCCAATTGTGGTTATCTATTAGCCTTTAGCCTTCCTATGTCAGGATACACAGAAAATGTTCACACCAATTGAAGAAATTTTCCAGAGAGAGCTTCCCATGCCAAATGGCTGTCAAGAATCCAACTTCCTCAAATCAGTTGGCCCTCCTTCTATTCAAATTTTATTATCCCAGTAACACCAGGACCCAGATAAACCCTGGGAGAAGAGGGGTCCATCAGGAGTATCCTGTACTGGTTGGTTAAGTCTAAAAGAAGATGAACAGAACTGGCATAAATGCTTCCTGACCTCCCTGGAATTGAAGGCAGCCTGCTTCCTTAAGGATCTCAGCATCCTTAAGCTGCCTGCTTCTGTGGCTTAGTCTGAGAGCTAGAACAGAGGGGCAAGAAGCACACGGCCACCTTGCTTGGGGTCTTTGTTCTCTCGTATTACCTGGGCCACAGATTTAGCACAAGCAAGGTCATGTCTGCTTGGATCTTATGGGTCTCTGACCAAGGAAAGGAAGAAGTAATCAGCTTAAACAAGGAAAACAGCAGGGGTGACTTGAATAATTATCCCTCTTTCAGACAAAATGATGCATTCTATAATGTTATGCAAATCAAATAATGGGTTTGGTTTTTTTTTTTTTTAATGTGAACTATATCAGTTCACATCCTCATTATCCCAAGGCTTCAGTGTTCAGCTAGGTAATGACAGCTGTGGAAAGAGATCTGGGAACTTATGGCTGCCTTCATTAATCTACCATAGGCAACTGACCTAGTCAAACATCCCTGAATATGACATAAAATTTACTGACTGC